AAGGAGGAATTTTATCACACAGCACATTGAAAACGGTGCTAAAATTCATGTCTGCCTAATTATATCTCTCAAATATAAGTTATCAAGAATCTCCAATGTCATTCCCTCCCAGACTCTATCAGAATTCCTATCAGCATTGGTTCATTTGCTTATTTCTTCTCCCAGTTTTAGCCACGTTTTTGATTATATGGATGATTTTAGTTTTGGGCTTTAAAGATTCTACTATTTAGCAGGTTTTAAAATATTTTATTTATTTTTGAGAGAGAGAGAGAGAGAGAGAGAGGACAACAGAGGAGAGGCAGGGAGAGGGAGACACAGAATCCAAAGCAGGCTCCAGGCCCTGAGCCGTCAGCACAGAGCCCAATGTGGGGCTTGAACCCACAGACCCCAAGATCAGACACTTAACCAGCTGAACCCCCCCCCCCAGGCGCCCTTTTTCAGCCAATTTATTGACCAGCACAACCAAACTGCAGACGCCTGCATGCTGAGGAGGGGGCTGGGGGAGCCCTGCTCTTCTGGATTTGAGGAGATTGGGTCTGTAAAAATGATATATTATTGGGGTGCCTGGGCGGCTCAGTGAGTTAAGCGTCCCACTCTTGATCTCGGCTCCGGTCATGATCTCATGGTTCGTGGGTTCAAGCCCCGCGTCGGGCTCTGTGCCGACAGCGCAAAGCCCGCTTGGGATTCTGTCTCTCTCTCCCTCGCTCACTCTCTCTCTCTCTCAAAATAAATAAGTAAACTTTAAAATGTGAGATTTTATCTTACTCAGGTTTTAGGGGGCTTGTGACACTTTGAAAAGCATTTAAACTTCTTCATTCCACCTCTCCTCTTACCTCTCCTTGGGACACCTGCTCACTCTCTGTCCCTCTCTGTCTCAAAAATAAATAAAACATTAAAAAAAGTTTTTAATGACACACAGGTGCCAAGCAGGTGCCACGGTGAGTGGATCCTGCCAGCTGAGAAGGGGTCACCGCAACCTCAGCCAGAAACACGACCTTGAAACGTCCCCGGACAACAGGTTTGCAGGTGGCCGACTCTCTTGGCTTCTGTTACATGTCTAAAAAAACCCAAAACAAAGTGGTTTGAAATCTCTGTGCCTTCTTCTGCTCAATTTTGCTGTGAACCCAGCACGGTTCTAAAAATAAAAGCCATTTTTTATTTTTTTGGTGTATTTATTTATTTCTGAGACAGAGCACGAGTGGGGGAAGGGCAGAGAGAGAGGGAGACACAGAATGTGAAGCGGGGCTCCAGGCTCCGAGCCGTCAGCCCAGAGCCCGACGCGGGGCTCGAACCCACGAACCGTGAGATCATGACCTGAGCTGAAGTCGGACGCTCAACCGACTGAGCCACACAGGCACCCCAAAATCCATTTTTTAAAGCGTATTTTGCCTTTCTCTTTGAGGAGTATTCTTACTGAGTCTAGAATTCTGTCTTTACAAATCTTTCAGTGCTTAAAAATTGTCACTCGGTTCCTTCTGGTTTGCACTGGCCCAGCGAGAAGTCACCTGACTTGTCCTGTATGTGGAGAGCTCCAGCGGCCGCAAGGATTATATTAAACACTCATTTTCAACAATCCGAGCTTTGCCTGGGTGCGGTTCTCTTTGTACTTCTCTTGCTTGGAGTTTGTTGAGCTTCTAAGATACGTGGGTTTAGAGTTTTCAACAAGCGTCCCCCCTAAACTGCTTGCCCATTATTTCTTCAAATACTTTTTCTCTCCTCTCCTGCCGGCACCCCGATTACATGACTGTTAGAACCCTTGAAAATGCCTCTGGGGTCACTGAGGTTCTATTCGCTGTTCTCAGCCCCCTTTCTCTCTCCGCGAGAGTCTGAAGAATTTACACTGCGCTGGCTTCAGATAAACTGCCATTTCCTTTCTTTTCTTTTAAAAATTTTTTTTAATGTTTACTTATTTTTGAGAGAGACGGAAAGGCACAGAGTGTGAGTAGGGGACAGGCAGAGAGAGAGAGGGAGACACAGAATCCAATGCAGGTTCCAGGCTCTGAGCTGTCAGCACAGAGCCCAACTCGGGGCTCGAACCCACGGACCACGAGATCATCACCCGAGCCGAAGTCGGACGCTCAACCGACTGAGCCCCCCAGGCACCCCTGGGTCTATTTTTATTCCCTGTGTTTTCCAATGACCATGGGTCATGTTTTCCAGCTCCTTCACATGTCTGGTTTTGCGCTAAACATCGTGGATGTAATGTCACGTGTCTGGGTTTTGCTGTCTCCCTTAGTAAAATTACCTGCTTTTAGGACTTGTTTTAAAGTTCCGCGAGGACGGGCACGGAGCGCCTTTGTTCTAGAACTGGATCAACCCTGCTTTTATGGCATAATGTGGCCTGAATGTTTGTGTCCCCATAAGATTAAGGTCCTAACCCCCGATACGATCGTTGTTTGGAGGTGGGGCCTTTGGGAGGTAATTAGGGCCAGCTGAGGTCATGAGGATGATGTCCTCATGGTCTGACACCAGAGCTCTCTCTCTCTCTCTCTCTCTCTCTCTCTCAGGCAAGGACACAGCGAGAAGGTGGCGTCTGCGGACCAGGAGGAGACCCCTCCCCAGAACCACACCCCCCTCACGCAGGGAGCCTGATCTTGGACATCCAGCCTCCAGAGCTGTGGGAAATAAAGGTCTGCTGTTCAAGGCACCCCGTCTGTGGCGTTTTGACGTGGCCACCTGAGCCGGCTAAGACACGGCAGGGCCTTCTGTGTCCCTGCTGAGTGCCCAACACGACCAATGGGCTTTCTCCCACTGTCAGAGCTCGGATGATTCCCGCCCTGTGGCCACCCCACTCGCCCTCCTCGGGGTTCTTTCTTTCCCCAGCAGCTGCTCCCACCTGCCCTGCGTCCGCGTGGGCAGCTTCGTTCTTTCAGTAAAACCCCAGGGAGACCCCGCCCACTCCTATTTCCGGAGCGCCCTCCTCTCTGGGACCCCTCCCCTGAAATCCACTCCCTCCGAGGCTTCTAATCCAGCCTCTGTCCCCGCAGCCCGGCGAGTCTGCCTGCTGCCTGTGGCCCAACCGGCACCTGCTGGCCGAGAACGAGAACGAGGGCGATGGAGGGGCGCCCGCACCGCTTCCTTCCCTCGGCCTGCCACTGCTCTGTACATGCTCAGCATCTGTGCCCGCTGTTTCCCATGTTTCGAGTTACCTGTGCCGGGAGGGACGGTCTGGGACCAGTTTCTCCGCGAGAGTCGGAGGCAGCGATCCCCACGAGGGACGTCTGTGGAGGTTCCCGTCTGTCGGGGTCTGTTTTCTGTGTGAACTGAAAGACGGTATCCCCGCTGCAGTTTGGGGGACGGAAGCGACGGGGCTGGAGCAGAATAACCCCAAAGGAAAGGGTCCGTGCCGGCGAGGGCCGGGATCCGTGCAGACCCCGCACCGACCGTGGCCGCGGTCGGAGGCGGACGTCCGGTGGGTTCAGCGGGTGCAGCGGGCCTGGAGACAGTTCGCAGATGGGCGCACCGCTGGGCGCCAGGGCGACGGAGCGGATGCACTGGGGACCGTGGGGAGCAGGCTGGGAAGGAGGGGTGGGGGAAGGGACGGGCACGATGGCTCACAGAGGGAACGAGAGGGACCGAGGGGTCCCTGGGGATGTGGAGAACAGAGAAAACGTTAGGCACTTAGGACACCTGAACGGAAAGGACGTTGACGTGTCTTCTTTCTGAGTGGAGCGTGGGTCCCCAGTGTGCTCGTGGGAGACCCGTAGCAGACACGGAGTAGGGAGGGGTGTTCCCAGAGACGAAACCACAAGCGACTATGAGTTTGGATGAGCTGCCCACGGGGACGTGGGATGCGGAAGCCAGCAGGGATGTTGCTAAGTCTTGGCGTGAAACGAACACAGTGAACTCAGTGCTGAAATCCTGGACAGAAGTGACCGGCTGAAGGTCGGCAGATGACGTAGGGCAGGGGCATCGGAAGTGGTGCGGGTCACAGCCTGCTTCCCCAAGGAGCATGCTTTTCCCACGCACGTGGAGACACCTGGGCACACGGCCAGCACCCAGCCCCCCCGGCCCCCACGAGCTCAGGTGACGGGCACGCGGCCCCCAGGACTGTGTGGATGCTGAGTGTGCACATCCTGGGGCCGGACTGGGTGGGGCAGGAGGCCTGGAGCACAGAGGACACCGGGTTTGGGATTCTGTGCCTCTCTGGGTCCCGGGAGGCTCAACCTGCGACTCGCAAATGGGTGACCCCCTACAGGACCTCAGGTGGGAGTGGGGAGGGGGTCACGACCTCCTCTCTGCCCTCCATCTCCCCTCTTTGTCCCTTGGGGTGTTTCCCCCTCCCTCCCCTCCCCTCTCCCTCCGTCCCAGGCACGGACTCTCTTCCCCGGAGCATTTCACCCCTGCGCGTGGGCAGACTTCTGTCTTGAGGAGACAAAGCGCTCCAATGGAAGAGAAACCGAGGCGTTTCGGGGGTTGCTGAAATGAACCTGTCATTTTACTCACCGGCCCCGTGTCCAGAGGGAGCAGCCCCTCCCCGGGACGGACACGAGGAGACACAGGAGACAAGGGGCTGGGGCTGGCAGAGGCGTCCCCGCTGCCTTGGAGGTGGGGTCTTCTCCATGTCTCCGGCCGGCTTGGTCATTTTCCCCAGTAACCTTGGGCCTAATATTTAAAAAGAAAAAAAAAAAAAAATCCTGTAACCGCCTCCTTTATCAGGAGACATACATGGCTTATCCCTTCCTGGGTGTGATCCCGTGAGCGCCCAGTGCCAGATGTGCACGTGGCCAGTTTTCCACGTCGGCATCCTGGTGTGACCTGGCTCCCGGCCCAGGGCAGGGGGAGGCCTGGCCAGTGTGCCCGCAGCCCCTGGCGGAAACCTCGTATTGTCTCTGGAGCAGCGGGCTACCTCAGCCCCTTTTCCTAACAAAGGAGCCACAGGGCTGGTGCCCCAGGGGACACAGGAAGGTTATCTGCACTTGGTGAGCAAACAGAGAGCAGATTATAAAACAGCCCGTGGCAGCGGGCACTGTGCATTCTGCCCTGGGGTGCAACATGGACATGGGACCTCGAGGCGTCCGGCTCCTGGCGGTTCTCCTGGTCCTGGGCCTGTGGGCCCCGGCAGGGGCCCAGAAACCTTGTAAGTGAACGGCTGTAGGTTGTCCTGTGTCTCTCGGTGTCCTTGACCGGGCGACGGAGCACTGGGGCCAGCGGGCCCCGAGAACCTTCTCGCGCACCCCCAAAATGCAACGGAGGTGTGCAAACTGCGTGCTTTCTGCGGTGCCTCCCTTGGCCTCGCTGGGTCTCTGTGCTCTTGGTTGTTTCCCTCAAAGCTCCGGGTGGGGTGTGATGGGCTCACTTGAGAGCAGGAGCAGCTAAAAAGGCACCCCGAGATTCGTGATGTGGGCTATGCGATTCGTGCACCCTTCCCGCCATCAGGAAGGACACCCTGATGACGGGGGGCTGTGTGACACCTCCAGGAAAGCCATCCTTCGTGGACAAGGTCAGGGTGAGCACAGGAGCCGGTGGGCCAGCTACAGAGAAGGGCTAGGAAGGGGCCCCCAGGGTGTCTGGAGCCCACGTTGGTCACCTTTTACTCTGACTTTTCCTAGGTCCTCTGTCGGCCCTGTTTCCAGAAGTTTTCTCCTTTTTTTTTTTTAAACTAATAAAATAATTTCTGCAGAGCCCTGTGTCAGAAGGGCATCGCATGGTTCAAATACAAGCAGGATGGGACTTTTCTCTTTCCCTGCGCGGCCGCAGGACCCATGTGGCAGGTGGGGAGCACGTGTGGTTCAGGCTGACGGAGGCTCTCTCCACAGCCCCCTGCCGGTGCTCACGGGTAGCCCCCCACAAGAGGGAGAACTGTGGATTCCCGGGCATCACCAGCGACCAGTGCTTCTCCTCTGGCTGCTGCTTCGACTCCAGCGTCGTGGGGGTCCCCTGGTGTTTCCACCCACTCCCGAAGCAAGGTAACCCCCAAGGGGAGCTGGCCCTCTTCCGGCACCCTGACCGGCTTCCCAGTGTGTATGTGTGGACCCCCGCCCGGGCCAGCCAGGAGGGAGGAGAAAGGGGGCCCTGGCCCGCTGTCCACACCCGGAGCCCCCAGGGTCAGCCACTTGCCCTTCTGCAGACTTTTGTGAGAACCCGTCAGTTTCACTGTGTTAGAAGGAAAAACAGCTCTCAGGGCCCTCCTAGCTGTGCAAGTACGACTTCGGAAGGAGCTTCTAAGGGCAATGAAGGCATTTCATAGGACGGTATCCACATGACCACTCATAGACCTTAAATGGTAAGAGGCTCAGTTAAAACTTCCAGGATTTTCCTTTGAGAAGGAGTCTGACGTCAGTGCACATCAGCAAGATACCAGGTCTCTAATTCCAAGGCGTACACAAGAGAAAGTTGCGTGTGCATAGCACTCCATGTGGGTGGAAAGCGTGCCCGCGGCCGCCCGTCCACACCGCCAGCAGCTGTGGGTGACGGGCTCCCTGGGCGTCGAAGGGGACAAAACAGACGGGTGGTTGTTAGCCGGGGCCCTCCCGCTGGCGGAAGCGGGGCTGGCTTTCAGCACCTCGGCCAGATGCTCCACATGCTCAAGTTCACGGTACGGTGGGTCGGCCCATCTTACAGATGGGAATATCGAGTCCAGAGAGGCGAAATGGTTAACCCCGGGCCCCAGAACTTCCGACGTGCGGCCTCTGCGTGGATCGAAGGCGGCCGGCCTGGGGGTTGTAGTCCGGCGGCCCCCGCGCACGCCGAGGCTGAGGTCCAGCGCATCCCCCGGGGAGGACGGGAAGAGAAGTTGCCGTTAGCTAGCTGCCCTAACCGGGTCTCCGTGTCGCTCCTTTCCCGGTTCCGGGGGCCACGTGACCAGCGTCGGAGGAATGCGTCATGGAAGTCTCGGCCCGTAGGAACTGTGGGTACCCGGGCATCAGCCCCGAGGAGTGCGCCTCCCGCAAGTGCTGCTTTTCCAACAACATCTTCGAAGTGCCCTGGTGCTTCTTCCCGATGTCCGTGGACGGTAATGTCCGTGCAGGTCGGGGCGGGAACCGGGGCCGTGGCGGGGGGCTGCCGGGCCCCGAGCCGCCTCTGGCCTCACGGCCATCGACGCCAGGCCCCTGGGCCCCGTGCGGGCCAGGTCAGCACCAAGCAGCTCTGAGGGCGAGTCCAGAATGCTGTCCACGCTGACAGCTGCTTTTCCAGAAGCCGAAAGCCCCCAGGCTCCCACTGTGGCTCGTGTGACAGCCGCAGGGAGCAGGTCACTTCAGTCACACCCCTGGGTCCCGGTGCGGCTGGTGGCACCGCCCAACTCACTGTCCTCAGGCCACCGGTTTGTGGTGCTACCTACTAAGGGTTGTGTGCGGTGCTGGGGGCCGCGTGGGGGGATGTGGGCCTCGCCCAACCCCCGGGGCCTTACTGCTCCCTTCACATGGGGGCCGCAGGGACACGTTCTGCCCACGGCTGCCTGCCCAGCGCCACCCCAGGAGGGTCTGGCTGCCCCCTCCCCATTAGCTACAGCGTGTCTCCTGACACTGCGTTTGGCCACACCAAGGAAAGCTCAGACGCTTTCCCAAAATGGGCACCGTGGCCTTGACCGTGCTGGATGGTCTTTCCCCGTTTTAGAACCTCAGGGTCCTCCGGAGAGTGCAGCCTTCGCTCAGACTCGTCCGAGCGATGCCTTCGCTAAGGGTCGTTCTGGACAACTGCCATTCCTGGGGTGGGGGTGGGGGGGAGAATGGACCCCCTAGAAGTGTCCCCCTCCATCCCCCAGAACGGGGGTACTTCAGCAGGAAGTCTATTGACAGGAGCCCCCGGGCTCCCCCGGCCCCCTAACGCTGCCCATTTCAAACCTCCGCCATTTCAAATTTCCAGACTGTCATTATTAAGAGGAGTCCCTTCCGAGGACCCAGCAGCCTCCCTGGATGTCTGGAAATGAGGAATACTCACCACCACATCTCAGGTTTCCTGAGTTCCTGGCTTTCCTGAATCGGCTTCTGTCCTTTCCACAGGTTCCACATACAGCTCCTTCAAATAAAGAAAGTCCTTAAAATCTGCTCAATTTCCTCTTGGCTTCATTGAGGCAAAAGTGGAGAGAGGGGGAGAGGGAGTGTGTGTGTGTGCAGGTGAGAGGGTGCACAGCTCGGATTCTCTCATTTGCTGCTGGAACAAGAGTCCACCCGGCACACGCAGGCTGCGCCAGCCGCCATCAAGGATTGTGTGCACGGGAATTTCAGAAACCACAACCACTCCTGTTCCCGATCACTTGTGTAAAAACTCAAGTGCCTTTAGCCCTGAAAACCTCTGGGGGGGGTGGGGGGAGCGCCTCGGTGGCTCAGTCGGTTAAGCCAACTGAAACTTTGGCTCAGGTCACGATCTCGCAATTCGTGGGTTCAAGCCCCGCGTCGGGCTCCGCGACGCTGACAGCTCAGAGCCTGGAGCCTGCTTCGGATTCTGTGTCTCCCTCAGCCCCCTGCCCCGTCTCAAAAATAAGTAAATATTTTTTAAAAACTTAAGTTTAAAAAAATAAATAAATAAAATTTTAAAAAAAGTCTTGGAGTAACACATAATTTCCGATCGTAGTTACAAAATTGCTTCGCTTGTATCAAACGCATCCCGGACCCGCGGCTTCTGCACGGAGGGTGGGAGCCACCTGTTCATCCCGCGTGTGGGGCGAGGTGGGCCGGCTCAGCGCCCCCCCCCCCCCCCCCCCCCCCCACCCACCCAGCGACACTTTCTCAAAATGGGCTTCCATGTTTCCTGGCCTTCCCCTCTAAGTGCCGAGGTCTGAAGCCGTCCGGAGAGGAGGCTGACAGCTTCCATCATATCAAGCCAGCCCGGAAGAAGGTTTGGGCGCAAAACCTCGTTCTACGGGTCTCCACGAAAGGGTCCCGGCATTCTTCAGTCGGGCGGGAGTGCGGGCGGTGACACAGGCCAGTCTTTCTGTGGCCCCTCCCTCCTCCCCGATGCCGCCTCCAGCTTGCGCCCACCGGCTTAGCCAAGGTGTCACCCACTGGCCTGCCTGCCACCGTGGAAATCCAAGGCCTCTCCTTCCAGGGCTGGGGGTTGCCCAGGGTGCCCTCTCTGCATCCAAAGGTAGGAATGCTCAGAAACGCCTCTTCAAGGAAGGACCTCGGCCCACATCACCTCTCGGGACGCCTATTTTGAGTCAAGCCAAGTCAGCGTCATATCTTGGTCTGGCTTACAACACACCCGTGAGCTCAAGGAGACAAGGGCTCCCGTGGGACCGGGGTCTCTGGCACAGGACAGATGGGCTGCGGAGACGGACCCTGGCGCCTGTGACGTCACTCGCCACAGAGCACCGTGTCCCTCACTGTGTACTTCACGCTGGAGGCACAGCCGAACTTCGGAAAGGGTCTTGCCCCTGGACTGGAACCGAGAGTTTGGGGTTCTGCTCCCGGAACTGGCACAGGGTCGTCTTGCCTGCAGGGCTCGGGAAGCTCCAGGTCTCATACCCTCCGTGGGCCTTTCCTGGCCCGCCGCTCCTGTCCTCGGGCCCTCTGCACCCATCGGCGGGCGCGGGAACGTGGCATCCTTCTCAGAGCTTTCTCGTGCCCCCCCGGCCCCAGCCTCGCTTCCTCCCGGAGGGTCTCCTGGTGCAGCACGCCCTACCTGGAGGAGCGGAGCCTACACCGCCCGTCTGATGACCAAGGGTGGATTCTTGAACAGCGGCCATGGCCTTCGCCCTGGGCTCAGGGGCTTGGCCGACTTACCCCGTGTCAGATACTCTGCCTCCTGCTCCACCCCTGCAGATTGCAGGCCACAGCGGGGCACCCCACCGTGGTGGCTGGTGCTGTGCTCCCTCCTCCCCCTCCAGATGGGCCACCGGAGGGTCCTCGTTGTCCCAGGAGCAACAGCTGACATTCAACCCATCCCATGAGAAAAACCAACCTTCCTTTCTCCTCCTCCGATGAGGTAATTCCTTCACCCCTTTGCCGTGTCTGCTTCTCTTTCCCTCCTTCCGTCTCCCTCCCGTGGGACCCCGCTGGCTGGGCAGGGGTGCAGAGGGTCCAGCGGTTGCCCCCAGAGCCTGAGCAGAGGAAGGGGAAGGCCATCTCCGGCCCTCGATCCCACCGTCCTGGTCTCTGGCTTCTCAGTGTCCTGCAGGCTTCTTCCTGGCTGGTTCAGGTAACAGGTGCCGTGACAGGTGCTCACAGAAGAGGGGACTGGCCAGCCTTTTGGCAGCGGGAACAGCAGGACGAGTCACAGGGCACAAGTGGGTTGATATCCCACGTGTGTGACCTTGGGGGGGGTTCTCTTATCTCTCAAGATCTTCCGCTTTTCTGTTTGTAAAACATAGGTAAGAGTTAGATTCCTGGCCGTGTTGTGGTGGGAATTAAAACCGATCTTTGTGAACTGCCTGGTGCCTGGTGCCTGTGGGCTCTTTCGGGAGAGTCTGGGCAGAGGTGACCGTCTGCTCTCATCCTGACACCAAGTGGGGTCATGTAGGAAAGCCCGTCCCCACGCACAGCAGCATGGCTGTGTCCAGAATGTGGGGGGAGCCTGACGAATACGTATCTACTCCTCGTATTCACGACACAGTCACCATGTCCCGAGTATATACATGCAGCCGATTCTCTGTTCAAGGTTCCCGAGGGCCTCCTAACCAATTTCATCAATGACCAATAGGTGACTGTGCTTGATGTGTGTGTCCGCTTAAAGACAATTTATTTCAAATGTATTATTGACTCATTAGCATTGAACCCACAGCCAACAGCACTATAACTCATGCCCAGACGTACCTCACATGCACACCTGCTTTCTCTGCACGGCATGACACGACCTTCTCGCCCACAGGTCGCACTTCCCCACTGTGCACGGGAATCATTTAAACAGCGAAATCAACGAAAAGCACAAAGATGCGAAAAATGCAGTACTAAATCGGCCATGAAAGGTCTCCTGTCTACAGTCTCAGAGCTGTAATGAGAAGGCACAGTGTCACCTTGCCGGACCTCGGCTGGCAGTGTTCGTGTCACAAATAAACTCTAGCCAGCAGGTGAATTTGCACATAGGGGATCTGAATTATGAGGATCGGTTATATATTCATCATAGGTATTGCATGCTCAATACGTGGATGTTGGAGGTGTGGTTTATACACACAAATACCCCTCGCTGTTGCCTTGGGGTCCAGGGGCCCCGGGCCCCCCCTGCCCCTTTTGCTTAAAGAAAGAGAAGGAAAGACCACAGCACAATCTGAGCCTCCGTGGGGAGCCCTGGAATCGGACTGTGGCAGTGAGAGCATAGGTATCAGATCTCCAAAATATATATGCTGCACTTATGTTCTATATGATTTCTGCTTCAAGCTCAGTTCGCAGCTGTGTGACCTTGAGCAAGTTACGTAGATGTTCTGTGCCTAATTTTACTCGTGTGCAAAGTGGGGGTATTGACAGCATCTTTTCTAAATTTTATAAGAGAGAGAGAGAATATCATAAGCAGACTCCAAGCCCAGCCCAGAGTCCCATGTGGGGCTCACCCTGGGATCATGACCTGGGCTGAAATCTCAATGGACTGAGCCCCCCAGGTGCCCCCAATAGCATCTTGTCGTGAGGAGTCAATGAACCAATTCGTGCAACATGCCGACCACAGTGTCAGGCACATAGGAAGGGCTCAGTGAGAACGTAATGCCAGTCCCAGTCATTGTTGAAGCCACAGCCCAGCAGTCCAGGCCCCACCAGGAGACAAATGTGTCCCCACTGCCTCAGGACACAGCTCTCAGACCCTCCACGATCCTGCCTGCTGATGCAGGAGGCCAGTCCCTCCAAGTCCCCTCCCCAGGGCTTCTCCTGTGGCCCTGGCTGTGCTGTGGTCCTGGGGGGCAGTGGTCCCTGTCCCAGGCACTGGCCAGAGGTGTTCCGGTGAAGAGGACTTTTTCGGTCCCATCACCAGCTTCTCACAGCCTCTGTCCCCTGCCCAAGGCTTGTCTGCCTCTATGTGAACACCTGTGGGAGGTTTCCAGGACATTCCTGGGAGTTTGCCGCCTTTCCCCACGGCCCAGATGGGTTGGGAACAGAGGGGTAGCTTCTGTCCAGAGCACCCAGAAGAGTCTGACCCCTGCTCCAGCCCAGCCAGGCTCCCCTGGCAGCTCAGACAGGGACGTGCTGATACCATGGCTGGATGACCGGGTTTCCACAAGGTCCCACGGCTGGCCGACTCCATGATCGCCTGTAGCCCAAAGAGAGCACAGAACTTCATAGGTGCTCAACCTTCGTCTGGCACAGGCAGAAACGTGGCTTGGGGGAAAGAAGGACGCTTCTGTTCTGTTTGTCCTACTTGGGACACAGGGCTAGTGACTAGAAGGACCTTCCGGCCAAGGACGCTCATGCAGCTCCCACGCCAGTCCTCTGGTGCCCTCTGCTGGCCACCCTGGGAGCGGACGTCCCCAGCATTCACCCGTTGGGCGCCTGCGGGTTTCCCCAGGCAGTTGCAAAGATTTGGTGTCTGACCACATAGCCTCCCAATGTCAAGAGAGCGATCTCAGTAACAAGCGTAAGTTGCTGAACTCATAACGTAAGTCAGATTGGACCAGATTTCGTGATGTGGGCTCACAAAGCCGAGATTCTGTGTCCGACGATGCAGCTGGAGGGGGCGGTGGGGGGTTAGAAAAGGCTCTCTTGTGGCCGGAAGACAGTCATGTGTCTGCACATGGGAGGGGAAGCAAAGGGAGGTGGGAGGGGAGAGAGGAGGGTGGGAGAGAGAAGGGCAGGGAGAGGGAAGGAAAGGGAGAGGGGAGGCAGGGGGAGAGGGAGAGAGGGGAAGGGCAAGAGGGAAGGGGAGGACGGAGATGCAGTCTCTCTGATCTTAACCCTATCAGATCAGGGTCCTACCCTTATGGCTTCATTTAAGCTGAATTACATCTGTCAAGGCCCCCGTGTCCAAATACCATCAACCCGAGGGGCAGGGCTTCGGCATATGGATTTGGGGGCACCACTCAGTCATATCAGCTCA